TCCTTCCTCCGCCCGCCATTACTTAGCTGAGTGTCTGACTCGAACCCCAAGAGAGCCACCGCCCACGTCTCAATCCCCGCCCACCGGTCCAAACTATTCCCCTCCCGAAACCCTCCCTCGCCTCCACCGACCGGCCGGCCGACCATGCCGCAGCTGCCGGACGAGCTCGTGGAGGAGGTCTTCCTCCGCCTCCCGCCGGACGAGCCCGCGGCGCTCGTGCGGGCCTCCCTCGCCAGCAAGCCCTGGCTCGCCCTCCTCACCGGCCCCGCCTCCCGCGGCCGCTACCGCGAGTTCCACGGCGCTCCCCCGATGCTGGGCTTCCTCTACTCGCGGCTCGACGGCTCCGGCGCCCCACGCCTCGTCTCCACCTCCAAGTTCTGCGCGCGCATTCCGGATTTCACCGAGCCCACGCACCAACGTTTTGATGCATGGGACTGCCGCCATGGCCGTGTTCTTCTTGGGAACAGTGACTATTGTCCCCCGGACCTCCTCGTTTGGGACCCCATGACGGGCTGCACTCGGGAGCTGGACGGGTGTTGCTTGCCCGATAGCTTCGAGCTCGCCGTGCTCTGCGCCGTGAGCGGCTGCGACCACCGCGCGTGTCACGCGGCCCCCTTCAGAGTGGTCTGCGTCGGCCTGAACTACAGTGAAGAGGGTTAGCGCGTTGCGGTCGCGTGTGTGTCCTCGCCGGACACAGGTGACTGGAGCAAACCGTGCCCTGATTTTTGGTCTGAGTGGGATGAGCGGTGCCCTGGTCTTGATCTTGTTGCAGCAGCTGATGCATTCATGCGGCCAATGCCCTCTGTCCTCGTCAACGGCGCACTTCACTTCCTGGTTGGGTACGAAAATGATAATGCTCGTGTAGGAATTCTCAAGTACAGCTTGAGCTCTGATTCGTTATCGTTGATTGATGCGCCGCTTGCCGAGTCTGTTGTTTTTCATGACCCTATGCTCATGGCAATGAAGGATGGCAGTTTGGGGTTTGCACATCTGGACAGGTTAATTCTCTACGTTTGGTCCAGAAAAATAGATTCCGATGGAGGTGCCTCATGGGCTCGTGGTACAGTCGTGCATCTCAAGTGCCTTCTCCCTATGGAAGATCCCAAGAGCGAACCTATACTGATTGGGTCTGTGGAGGGCGGTGATATCATTTTCGTGAACACGGATCTTGGCGTCTACCAGATTGATCTCAAGACACTAGAGTGTAAGGAGCTAATGAAGGGACGAAACTTCTATTCTTTGATTCCGTACATGAGCTTCTACAATCCGCCAGGTATCTATATGCCTTTCTTCTTTTATGATTCATGAACAACTATTAGCTAGCTAGGTAACTATTTATCAGTTAGTGGAGTCATCAAAACATTGATGCCTAATCAGATTGAAAATTGTGTTTGAAATTTGCTTCAACAAATTTGAATTCCAATGTAATAATTGATGGTTACTATTTTTTATGCTTTCTTAATTGGCAATTTATATGATATAGTATCATGTCATATCCATTGAAGAATCACATGGATAAAACTGTGTTTGCAGAAAGGGTGATCCCTGGTGATGCGGCACGTTGAGAATGCACGGTCGAGTATGCATGATGCTACTACTCATCAACAAGTAACGTGGCAACTTGGAGGCATATGGTGTGATGAACTATTTCACTACTCAGTAGCCCTTTTGGTGCAGTGGTGCCTGCATGATTTCTCATGTTAGTGTGGGCTTTTGTCTGTTAGTTTGGCAGTTTCCCCGCGTCGTTCGCGTGTCAGTGGGTGAATTAACTATCTTGTAGGGAAACATTAATTTCTTGCATCCATGTGAACCGTTGTTAAATTTATGCATCTGCAAGAAGTGGCTTAATTCTACAATTTGCTATCCCAACTTTTATCTAGTCTCTAAATTCATCTCCTAAAATGGGTATCTTTGGTGAGCGCCAGATGCCGACGGCGTGTCCAGAGCTAGTGGCTCGCTGATATTTCTTAATTGATCTAGATAATTTTGTTTGTGCTACACCTACTCTAATGTGGTCATGCCCAGAGCTGCTCTTTTCTTGGCCTAATGGATGTTGATGGCTTCTGTATGAGAGTGGCTGACTGAACTAGTACTATGTTTCAAGTGTGATGCTACTTGCTAATTGCTATACTGCAATAGTCTTTTTTCAGAAAAACAATGCTAATACAGCACACAACTTGTCAACTGAACCACTAAATGGTAGGATCACAGAAATATAGTACGTATTCCACAAGAGCCACTGCATTTGGGTCTGTAATCACAGAAGTGAAACTATCGTTTTCTCTCTCATGCTTATGTTGCAAATCAGGTGGACGAATTGCATTGTTTGTATTGCTGCGGATTATTTGCAACACAAACGCATGTCCTGTAAATTTAGACATATTAGGTTCAGTTTAATTTGGGGTCTGAATATGTAGAGCATGAGACGTGCTGGTAGGCATTTTCATATATGTAGAAGCAGCATTTTCTGTTTTTATTTTGGTTGGTACGATGACATGATCCGTTGTAACACCTCAACTTCACAGTACTTAACATGGCTGGTGCGCAAAGGAGGTGGCCAGGTGGAGCAGAAGTCGGACCTTTCGTCCTCTCGTACTATTTTTCTATTAAGAGCCTTAGTAGAAGTGAGTCTGCATTTTAACTCTGAAGTATCATGTATCAGATCCATCACGTAGTATATACTACCTCCATTCAATATTTTTTTGTCGTGGTTTTAGTTCAAAGAATTATGGAACGGAGGGAGTAATAGTGTGGCATCTGGCATGTGCTTGCGGCATGGGCCTGGGCCTGGGCTGTCAGGTCTCAGGTGACTTAGAAATCTGACTGTGGTTTAGCTTCGTTTTCTAAAAGAGAAATGTGATTCTGACATCTGAATTGACCATGCACGGCTCAAGTACTAATTTGGTGTCGAGCGGTTAATCTTGGCCACCGGTTAGACTAGACTAGTTGGTTTTAACGTCGGTGGTTATGGCACCGCTTATATTCCGGGAAGTGTCGCTTTATTCATCAGCAGTTGAAGAGTGAGGATCATCTAACAAGATTGTTGGGACACATACCCAGTTCTGAAGTATGCAGAAGGGTGGCCCCGGGCGATGTGGCACATTGAGAATGGAATATCAAGATGCAATTTTTTTTTTCAAAACACCTGTTGCGATTGACCCATAATAAAGAAACAAAATTCGGAGCGAGCGTCCAGAATGCGACACGTGGCGACGGCTGAGACCGAGCGTTCCATCTCCAAGACTATCCAGTTTTGGGAGGGCACCCATCTCGTTCAAGCCGTCAGCCAATCTTCATAGCTTAATAAATAGTAACGTCTAACTGAGCCAGTTAATTAGATGTACTAGTAGAAAAAGGGCCATTTTTCCCACTTCGTAAGGCCCATTTGTCCTGGTTGGGGAACCAGGACTAAATGGTCGGTACTAAAGCCCTATACCTTTAGTCCTGGTTCTTACACCAACCAGGACAAATGGGCCTCCACGTGGCCGCTGCGGCGAGCCCAGGCAAGAGGGCCTTTGGTCCCGGTTGGTAGCACCAACCGGGACCAAAAGGCATCCACGCGTCAGCAGCTGGCAGGAGTTGAGTTTTTTCTGAAAGGCGGTAGTTTAGGGGGTTTTGGGGGGTTAATTTAGGGTATTAGCTAGCTAATAGAGAGAAGTGTCCTCCCTTATCTCCGTGCTTGGTTTACCAACGCTACTGCTATGCCTAAACATAGCTTAGATTGAAGTGAAGGCAACATGTGGTGCATGTCAATAGTAGTACTAATCCAAACTTGATCAAGTTAGGATTAGTACTAATCCATGTTCATTTCACCCACTGATATATAATAACTCTTCATGCTGGCATCATGCATCATTATAATAACAAATCCTACTAATTATCATCATACAACTTCTACTCATTATTAATAACAAGTCATACGATCATCATCCTCATAGTCATCGAACCAACCCAACTTAATTGTTCTTAGCACATAATCATCAGTATTAGGTAGGACATAAATACCCTCTTCAAGGTAAAATATCATAAAACAATATAGGCCCTGACTCTCCATTATGGAGAATGGAGATCATCCTGTCTCCAATTCTTGCGCTTGGCTTCCTTTTGCTTCCAAGAACCTCCTTACGACTGTCCATACATTTTTTCCATTCTTTGATTAGCATGTGTTCACCGGTTTTAGAAATCCGGTATGGAGAGGTGAGATTCGTAGGATGACCTGGCTGTATGTTCAAAACATCAACGCGACCATTCTGATACATCAAATGCGGCACACAATCCATCGGGATTCTCTATTGAAAAACATGGTAATAACTTCGTAGTTAGCAATGATGTACTAGTTTTAGAAGTATGCAAGAGATGCATCACTACAGGAATCAGCTACTTTGCTGTCCGCCACGGCGGACGGCAAAGGCATGAATGGCGGACGGCAAAGAGCTTTGCCGTCAGCCGCGGACGGCAAAAGGCTCCGGCAAAGTAGGCCTCGGTAAACAGTTTCTTTGCCGTCTGCTACTGATGGCAAAGTCTTTGCCGTCTGCGGCGGACGACAAAGAGAGCGCGGCGGGCGGCAAAGAGAGCGGACGGCAATAATTGCGCTGTCAGTCCGGTAAGTGGCTAATGGCAGGCCTTTGCCGTCCGTCGCTGATGGCAAAATTTCTAGTGTCTTTGCCGTCAGCCGTATAATGTCATCTACACGTCACTACATGGCAGGTTCTTTGCCGTCTGCCACTGATGGCAAAGTCTTTGCCGTCTGCCACTGTAGGCAAACTGACCAAATGGGTCAGCTCCCAGGAAGCACAGCTGGATGCCACGTGTCTTCTTTGCTGTCCGCGGCAGACGGCAAAGAGTCCGTTGCCGTCGGTGGCAGACGGCAAAGAGCCTGCATATTGGCTCTTTTATCTGTTTTTTATTAAATCCAACAATTTTCATCACAAATATATATGACATATATAGATATATTTCAAAAGGCCATTACAGAGCAAACATATAAGATATCCAACACATAACTTCATCATCCAACCATATATATTACATGCATAGTTCCATCATACATAACAATTTCAACATAGAGGCATCCAACCATATATATTACAATAGTTTCATCCAACGATACATGCATAGTTCAACGATACAAAAGAAACAGAGAAAGGGATAAGGAGCACTCCATCTATGCAAGCTTTCGTCAAGTGAATGAAATCTGCAAAATGAAAAATAAGAAAGTTAGAACAAGAAGAGTGGAACAAGAAGAAGAGTAGAACAAGAAGAAGACTAGAACAAGAAGAGTATGTCATTTATGAGCTAACTTACGTGAAATGAATCATATATGAGCTAACTAAGTTGAAATGGGTCGTTTATGAGCTAGCTAAGGTGAAATGGATCATTTATGAGCTAACTTAGTTGAAATGGGTCGTTTATGAGCTAAGTAAGGTCAAATGGATCGTTTTTGAGGTAACTAAGGTGAAATGGATCGTTTTTAGCTAACTTAGGTGAAATGGATCATTTATGAGCTAACTTAGTTGAAATGGATCGTTTTTGAGCTAACTTAAGTGAAATAGATCATTTATGAGCTAATTTAGTTGAAATGGATCTTTTTGAGCTAACTTAGGTGAAATGGATCATTTAAGAGCTAATTTAGGTGAAATGGATCGTTTTTTAGCTAACTTGGTGAAATGGATCGTTTATGAGCTAAATTAGTTGAAATGGATCGTTTATGAGATAACCTAGGTAAGATGGGTCATTTTGGAGTTAACCTAGGTGAAATGGGTCATTTTAAAGCTAACATAGGTAAAATGGATCATTTAGGAGCTAATCTAGGTAAAATGGTCATTTTTGAGCTAACTTGGAGGAACTGGAACATTTATAAGCTAACCAAGGTAAAATGGGTCATTTTAGAGCTAACTTAGGTAAAATGGATCGTCTATGAGCTAACTAAGCTAATTATGCAATTTTTGACATAAGTAAGCTAAGTACAGATCGTTTTAGAGCTAACATAGGTAAAATGGATGGTTTTGGAGGTCAGTAAGCTTATTAAGTCATTTTGGAGGAGAAGAAGCTAAGTCTAGGTCATTATGGTAAGCATTGGAGGAAATAAAGCTAAGTCTAGGTCTTTATGCATGTGTTAAGCAAAACACTAGATAAACTTACCAAGATCCAGGAGGTGTAGGAGCAGGGTGGCTCGTGTCGGTAGCTGGAGAAGGATCGTGCGATGCTTGTCTGGAGTTACGCCGCACCAAAGATCATTTCCAATGTCTTGTTAGCATGATGACACTCAAATGTTAAGACTAGCAAGTAATGTCCATTCAAATAAAACTCACCGTGGTCCCAGGAGCAATCACTGGCATCGGCGGAGCGGTCTGACCTGTCTTCTCGCACACAGACTGTACATTTGGTTTTGACGACTCAGTCATACTAGTTAGTATGAGACAAACACTACATGGATGTTTTGGCTAATCTGCAGAAGAAACTTATCACAAGGAGCTCGTACATGGCCCTTGCCTGCATGTCATTCCGTGCCCTCTCCTCCTCCATCACCTTTGCCGTCCTCTCCTCCAACTCCCGCTGCCTCTCC